TAACTAATTTTTGAAGTTTTAAACATTGTTTCTTAGTTTTGAGATATGAAATTTTCCCAAACTAGAAACACCAAATGGACCATAACAAAAAAAGCAGAACCTATCATCTCCTCCACATACTCGCAACATGCCTAGGACCCAAAGAGAAATCAAGGCAAACAACACATGGACAAAACAAGTGGAAATTACACCCCATAAATGGTTTTCAACTTTCAATTTCAAAAATCAAATTCAAAAGTTTTTTATTCAAAAATCAAATGAAAATTTAAATTTTTAATATTAATAATAATATTAAAACATCAAATTAATCTAAATATTCACTCCACCTCATCCCATTTCCATCCATCCTACCAAATTTCATTCTCAAACCCTAATTATTTCATTTTTCTCTCTTCTCTCGTTCCTACGTCTAACCTTTCCCTTAAATAGATCATCACCATAGGAAGATAGCAACACTATGTAGAGAAGACGAAAGCGGCGTTGATCTGCACAACGATGATAATCAATCCATCGTCTTTACAGTGGCGATTTGTTGAAAAGTCATGTGAGCGGCAATAAACAGTGTCTCTGTGCAGAGCCGTCACAGGCAACAGGATTGTGCAAAGCCACCTATCACCCCTTTATTCACCAACGCCTAATTATCCCTTCGATCAACCACCTCCATCTCTGTTGCCCCTCACCCCTTCATTCACTGGTGCGATGTGGATGTGGATTTGGGGATGGCAATAGTATGGATGTGGTGTTTCTTCTCTTCGATATGTCTGGGGCGGCGCTATGCGCCCTACAGTGGTCACTGCAGCCACGCTAACGTGGTGTTTCTGGGTATTAGTGGTAAGGTGGTTGTTTCTAGGTGTTTTTGTGTGTCACCGCTACAGTCGCCCTCCGATCTGTTGTGGGTAATTTCGAGTGTTGATGGAAGGTGGTGGTGGTGAAAATCTAGAGTTTTAGGGGTTAGTTGGTGGTGGTTTGCAAATTGTAGCGATGCTTGTAGTTGGAGGTGGTGGTGATGTTGGAGGTGCTTATTGGGTGGTGGTGTTGATCGACAATGGCTACTATGGTGTTGGTGGTTGACGATGATGGTGATGGTAGTTGATGGCGATGGTGCTATGTTGATGGTGGTGTTTGTGATGGTGGTGGTTGTGGTGGTGGCGACGACGATGGTAGGGTGAGATAGAGAGTGTTTTTGACTAGCTATTTAAGTGTTTGTGACTAATTGCAGAGTGGGGGTGAGGTGTTTGGCGTATATGACTAATTATTTGTTTATTTGTGACTAATTATTTAATTGTGACCTAAAAATTGGATAATTCATTATTGAAAAATAATTTGTAACCAATTAATTTGAAAAATGGATTGCGTTTGGTATATTGTATTAGACCGTATAAAGATTTTAGAATAATTAAATTTGGAAGATAAAGAAGGTTTTAAACCAGATAAGATGACTAGTCCAAATTATTTTTTTACTAAAACACCAAAGAATATTTTCTACCATAACCCATCGTAATACCACTTACTAATACTACGTACATTTATTTTATTTATACGGTCTAGTACTGTGTAGTCAGTCTGTTATGAACTTTCAAAAATCTGCAGCAAACGTGCACACAAGCAATATAAAGGCAGAAACTGATGAATACTGAACCAAAAAAGGGAAGGCCGACCAACTCACAGATAAAATATCCCTTCAGACAGTTGAAAATTTTCCAATCAATTAAATAATTCGAATTCGAAAGAATTAATAGAATTTGAAAACACAAGACAGGTGCAAACAATCCTAAAAAAAGCCTCTTGAGCGTTTTCGTGCAACCTAAATCAATCAACAAGCAATGGAATTGAAGACTCCGTCCGTCCAAGCTTTTCAACCGTGCAAAAAAATAAATAAAAAATAATACTAGAACTCTTCAAATTCAAACTCCGAAACCCCGTCTTCTCTTCGGTTACGTCAAAAAAAATCGAAAACCACCAACACCGAGCTGTCTAGCAAAAATTCGTTCACTTTTTCGTTCGTTAAGGCAAACACTAGAGACATACGATAAATGAGAGGAGATTATAAAAGGGAAGTCTGTGATGAAGATGCATGTAGGAGTTTTGAGAATTATTTGATAGAAATGATGGTTGAAGAAGGGAAATTGAGGGATTTAAAGGACGTTGAAGAGTTTCTTTACTGCAGGAAGAATCTTAGATGTCCTAATTTCACTGATTTGGTACTTAGATTCTACGGGGAGCTATGCAAGGATTACTTTCCAATAGCCTTGACAATAGTGTTAAAACATCAAGGAAATTTACTATAAATCTAATTTAACCAGATATTTCGTGAGATTCACAAGTTTTATCAACTTTTAAACCACATATTTCATCAGATTTTATCAAAATTTACTATAAAACTAATTTTTTTTTTTTGGAACACCAAGCATGAGCTCAACTGTAAGAAAAATTGTTAAATTTACTACAAGTAGCAATAAATAAAATATTTAAAATTATAATCATATTCAATGTGATCATCGATGATGCAAAATGAGAACAATTCTATTAGCATAAATTATTCCTTTTTATTATTGCAAATTTGAGCAAAACTAATGTTATTGACCAAAATGTTGAAATTTTTGCGGAGGAGATTTCATTCCTCCAAAATATTTAATGATAAATATGAAGACAATATTCTTAACCAACTTTCCTCTCGTCTCTATCCCTTTCTGAACATGAACCCTAGATTTAACTTAGCTTCAAATTTAACCGTTTCTTTTACTGATTAATTAATTAAGAAGCACGGAATCTTCCGCTTTTCCTAATTATTTTAATCCATTTTTGATTGCTTCAGTAATCACAAATAAATACGAAAATTTATTGAAAAAAATGATGGGTTCAGAGAATAATCACTCAACCAGAGAACAGATGGAAACCTTAATTCTCAATGAAGACGATGGCAGCAAGTACGATGTTTCGAGCTCCATATCCTATTCCAATTACCGCAGTGCAATGACCACACTGTCCTCCTCCGGTCACCCTCTGTTGACCCCGTCGTCCATTGCCACCACCCATACAGTGTCGGATCCGCTGTTATTTCCCTCTCACGATTCCATCCCGGAATCCCTTTCCTACGCTGATGTCAATATCAGTCCCCTTGAGGATAGTCCCACTGTCTCCTCCTCCGACGGAGCCGGTGGGAGCGGTGAAATACGCGACGAATTAAGGGTTTCGCCACGGTCCCAGCTGGAAGGCTCCGAGTATTTGAGAATCACGGTTTCTGATCCAAAAAAAGAGGTTGAATCTTCTAACTCAGTTGTTCGGGGTGGCAACAGTTATGTTACGTATTTGATCACGACTAATACGAATATTCAGGAGTATGGAGACTCGGATTTTAGAGTCCGGAGGCGGTTTAGGGATGTTGTTACGCTTTCTGATCGCCTGGGTGAAGGCTATAGAGGATATTTTGTTCCGCTACGGCCTGATAAAAGTGTGGTGGAGAGCCAGGTGATGCAAAAGCAAGAGTTTGTGGAACAGAGGAGAGTTGCGTTGGAGAAGTACTTGAGGAGGCTTGGAATGCACCCTGTGATTAGGAAGAGCGATGAGTTAAAGGAGTTTCTAACAGTGGAGGGGAGGATGCCTATGTCACCAAGAACTGATGTGGCATCAAAGGTGCTTCATGGGGTGGTGAGGCTGCCAAAGCAGCTGCTGGGGGAGTCAAGGAGTGTAGTTGAGTCGCAGGATGCTGTGGAGCCAACCAAGGGCAGAAGGGATTTTCTGAGGCTGTTTAAGGAGTTGAAGCAGTCAGTTGTGTATGATTGGGGTAGGTCAAGGCCTCCTATGGAGGAGGAGGATAAAGAATTCTTGGAGAAGAAGGAGAAGTTACATGATCTCGAGCAGCAACTTACTAATGCTTCTAAACAGGTTTCATCAACATTCTGCCACTGATTCCAGTACTATTATCATGCATGTTCTATATTGTTATTCATGCATTCTTGCGCTCTGAATGCCAAATGTTAGCATAGCTAATCTGCTGATAAATTCGATTTTGAATTCTTCACATTTTTTATGGCATTGCACTTGTAAGCTTAATTGGTTTTTTTTACCCTGATAGGCGGAGTCACTGGTTAAAGCACAGCAAGATATGGGGGATACAATGGGAGAATTGGGACTAGCATTTATTAAGTTGACTAAGTTTGAGAATGAACATGCCATATTGAATGCTCAAACAGCGAGGGCTGCTGACATGAAAAATGTTGCAACTGCAGCTATCAAAGCAGGCAGATTGTATCGAGCATTAAATGCACGGACCATGAAGCATTTGGTAAGTGCTGCACTGTTGTTGTGGGTCGTTTTTGTGTGATACGTTGAACTGCTACAGTTTATCAAACTTCCTGTTAGGGCTGGCTTAGTGGTGAAGGTGATCAGATGTCCCAGATTATATTCCCACCGACGCGTTGGTTGTTTGTCTATAATATACTGGCCTTTCCCCCATTAAATTGGCTCGTCGTTACATGTTTGTTTGAAATGTGTTGATTTTCTTATCTTGATCCTTTGCCCATAATAATAATCTGCCACAAGAGTGCTGTTGTGTACTCATTGTTTCACCCAACAAATAACAAAATAGTGGGGGGGGGGGGGGGGGGGGGGGG